GAGGGAAGAAGGGAGGGAGGGAAGCCAGGGGGGAGGGAAGGAGGGAAGCAGGGATAAAGGGAAGCAGCAGAGAGGGAGGATGAGAGGGAGAGATACAGACAGACATAAAGACATAGATAGAGACAGACAGACATGCAGACAGAGATAGACAGAGAGACTGAGAGACGTAGGATAGAGACAGAAAGACACACCATACGCGAACACACACACACAGACACACACACACACAACACACACACAGCCACCCAGACTGCCAGACAGAAACAAAGACAGAGACAGAACAGAGAAGACAAGACAATATTCCAATTCTTGTCCTTTGACAAAAACAAAAAAACAACAAAACAACGAAAAAAACACAATAATTAAGTCCATCACACTGAAATACGTTTTCTTTTCTTCTGACAAATGGTCCTGGCAAGTCTACCATTTCACTTTTTTTCCTTCAAATAGTTATTTTTTATTTTATTCTTGACGGGGTGACGAAACTGACTGGGCATTCATAGTCTTGGCACAGATTGAAGACAGTGATACATTGGGTTTGATTGAGAGAAAGAGAGGGAGAGGAAGAGGAAGAATGCAAGGGAGAATTAGAGGGAGAGGGAGGGTGAGAGTGAGAGTGAGAGAGCGAGTGAGTGAGGTTGTGTGTGTGTGTGTGTGGTGTGTGAGAGAGAGAGAGGAGAGAGAGAGAGAGAGAGAGAGAGAGAGAGAGAGAGAGAGAGAGAGAGAGAGAGAGAGAGAGAGAGAGAGAGAGAGAGATATTATATTATATAATATTATATATATATATATATATATATATATATAATCATATATATTATATCCATATATATTATATATATATATACATATATATAATATATATATATATAATATATACAATACATATATATATATATTATTTATTTATTCTCCATATAAAATAATAAAAATAACATATCCTCCCCTATATTCATTTATAATAAATATATATATATATATATATATATATATATATATTATATATATGTATGTAATAAGTATATATATATATATAATATATATATATTTATTATTATACTATATATATATATATATATTTATTATATGCATATTAATATATATGTATATGTTATATATATTATATATTGTATATTAACTAATAAATAAATAATACAAAAATTATTTTATTATATTATATATATTATATATGTATAATATCATATATATGTATTATTGGCATGCAGCCTAGTACTAAAAAAAAATAAGACTTCTTAGTTATAAGGCCTAGGCCACTGATAAATATTTTTTTATTTTAGAAATAGAGATATGTTGAATTATGTCGAGCACACCATGAAACAATAATAATTTATATTTTATTTTGATTTTTCCCTTTCTAACCCTCCACCCCTCCACCCCCTCCCCCCTCCCATTCCTGGATTACCGCCGCCGTTACCGCCCCTTCGCCCTCCCCCTCCGCCCTCCTCTGCACGCCACTGTGGTCACAGACAAAGAAAGAGAGGGACATAGAAAACAACGAAAAATAAATGAAAAAAAAATGTCACTTGTGAAAAAAAAAATACCGATTGCCTTAAACACCCTACTCGTTTCTATGGTTCAATCTCCGTCTTGCATTTTATATATCAAAAGAAAGGAAGAGTAAAAAAGAGTAAATTCGTTACTTCCCTTTTAGTGAAGAGTGGATACGTCATGTCCGCGAGAAAAAGTGTGTGTGTGTGTGTGGTGTGTGTGATGTGTGTGTGTGCGTGTTGTGTGTGTGTGTGCTGTGTGTGTGTGTGTGTGTGTGTGTGTGGTGTGGTGTGTGGTGTGTGTGTGTGTGTGTGTGTGTGGGTGTGTGTGTGTGTGTGTGTGTGTGTGTGTGTATGTGTGTGTGTGTGTGTGTGTGTGTGTGTGTGTGTGTGTGTGTGTGTGTGTGTGTGTGTGTGTGTGTGTGTGTGGTCTGTGTGTGTGTGTGTGTGTGTGTGTGTGTGTGTGTGTGTGTCGTGTGTGTGTGTGTGTGTGGTGTGTGTGTGTGTGTGTGTGTGTGTGTGTTGTGTACGGTGTGTGTGTGTGTGTGTGTGTGTGTGTGTGTGTGTGTCTGTGTGTGTGTATGTGTGTGTGTGTGTGTGTGTGTGTGTGTGTATGTGTGTGTGTGTGTGTGTGTGGTGGTGTGTGTGTGTGTGTGTGTGTGGTGTGTGTGTGTGTGTGTGTGTGTGTGTGTGTGTTGTTGTGTGTGGTGTGTGTTGTGTGTGTGTGTGTGTGTGTGTGTGTGTGTGTGTGTGTGTCCACATACAAAACAACTACCATCAAGAAGCAGGCCTAAACGCGAATCAAAAAAGAAAAAGAGGAAAAAAGGAAAAGAGAGAAGGACGGGAAGACAAATATTTATATACACAAGGCTGCAAGTAGCTCATATATAAACACATACAGACATTCACATACACGCAGAGTACACACACGCACACACACACACATACACAGGTGCGATGCGTGACGTATCTTCCCGGCGTCAGCCACGAGACGCGGCAGAGACGCCTCAGCTGACTCCTCCGCTGACTCACAGGACTCGTGACCGGCTGACAGGACCCGCGGCGTCCCCCTCGGCTGCAGCACCGACAGGCCCCGTCTCCTCCGCAAGCAGGCGTGTGCTTGAAGCCCTGGACGAGAAGCTTCCCTCGTGAGACAAATAAAATGAAAATCCGTCATGAAAAGTGTTTTTTTCCGGTTCAGGGTTAGCATGTAGGCCGGCGGTGGGTGAGAGGCGTCGGGTGCCAGGGTGCCAACGGAGGGCTTGGTATTGGCACTCCGCCGCCCAGAGGCACCCTTGGCTACCCACGTCTCAGCTGCCTCACAGTGGCCCCCGCCACCGGCTTACCCACGCGGTCCCGCTCCGTGCCCTCCGAGTGAGTTACAACCAACTGTTGCCTCCAGCCGTTGCCTCCCTGTCCCTCAAGGCCCCCGACGCTGCCCGACTGCGCTCCTCCGCCCGGCTGCTCCTCGCCCGACGCGTCCGAAGGCAAGAGGCCCTCCGAAAGCCCCCGACGAAGGGTTGAAAGCTCAGACTCGCCGCGTCCTCAGCTCGTCCCGGGTCGTCAGCCCCTCGCCATGTCCCGCTCGACCGTCCGCCACCATCCCCTCGTCGCCGAGGACTCGCCTCTGCCCGGACCCTCGCCGGCGGAGAGCCCCCTGGGAGGCTCGCCCCTGCGCGGCATGTCCCCCGACCGCCTCCTCAACGACCTGGACATGAGGTCGTTCCGCGCCCCCGACGACCCGTCTCTCAACCTCCTCGAAGTCCCCAGCACCAACTGGACTCGCAGCCCCCGAGAGTCCGGCTCCTCGTCCCTGGCCTCGTCCACCTGCGACCTCAACGCGCCCATCTACGACCCCGACAGGAACTCCAAAATGGTAAGTCTTCCGCCCCGTCCACCTCCAGCTGGAAAGAAAAATTAACATATCTAAATAGCAACTCAATAGGGAGTCAGAATCAAAATCTCTTCTGGAGCAAATCCTCTAAATCTAATCTACTTACACAAAGCCTCTAGGACGCCTAAAAAAAAAAAAAAAAAACAACAACAAAAACAAAAACAAAAAAAAAAACCCGAGTGGCAGTGATGACGAGACGGCCATCATGTGTGCTTGCAGTGTCTCCTAAAGCAAGCAAAAGGAGTTGGGGTTTTGACGTTCCTGTGATCAGAGGGACGAGGGTGCGGAAATAAGCTTAGAAGGCGAGGGAAACAGAAAAAGTGGGAGGGAGGGAGAAGGAAAGAGGGGGGAAGGGAGGATGAGAGGAGGGAGGGAGGAAGAGAGAAGGAAAGGATGAGGGGAAGAAGAAAGAGAGTGAGATAGATAGATAGATAGAAAGAGAGAGAGAGTCTGAAAAAAGGATGAGAGTCTGAGAGAAAAGGGGAAATGGGGAGAGACAGAGAAAATGAGAGAGAGAGAACGTCTGAAGAAAAGGGTGATAAAGAAAGAGATGGAATAGGAAGAGACAGAGATGCCGAAAGAAAGAATAACAAAGTCCGAGATACAGAGAGACAAACAAACACACGCATCCTCCTCTTTTCTCTCTATTCCTCCGTTCTCCTTTCTCTCTCTTCCTCCTTCCTCCTCTTTTCTCTCTCTCTCTTCCTCCTTTCTCCCTCTCTCTCTCTTTCCCCTTCCTCCTCTTTTCTCTCTTCCTCCGTTCTCTCTCTCTCTCCTTCCTCTTTCTCTCTCTCCTCCTCCTCTTCTTCCTCCTTTCCCTTTTCCTCTCTCTTCCTCTTTTCTCTCTCTCTCTTACTCCTTCCTCTTTTTTCTCCCTCCTCTCTCCTCCTCCTTCCTCCTCTCTCTCTCCCTTCCTCCTCCTTTCTCTCTTCTTCCTTCCTCCTCTTTTCTCTCTTCCTCCTTCCTCCTCTTTTCTCTCTCTCTTCCTTCTTCCTCTTCTTTTCTCTCTTCTCTTTTCCTCTCTCTCTCTCTTCTCCTTCCTCTTCTCTCTTCCTTTTCCTCTTTCTCTCTCTCTCTTCCTCCCCTTTCTCTTTCTCTCTCTCTCTTCCTCCCCCTCCTTCCTCCTCTCTCTCTCCTCTCTCCTTCTCCTTCCTCTTTTCTCTCTCTCTCTTCCTTCCTCCTCTTTCTCTCTCTTCCTCCTTCCTCTCTTTTCTCTCTCTCCTCTTCCTTTCTCTCTCTTCTCTCTTCTTCCCTCTTTCTCTCTCTCTCTCTCTCTTCCTCCTCTTCTCTCTCTCTCTCCTTCCTCCTCCTCTTTCTCCTCTTTTCTCTCTCTTCCTCCTTCCTCTTTTCTCTCTCTCTCTCTCTTCTTCCCTCCTTTCTCCCTCTCTCTCTCTCTCTCTCTTCCTCCTCTTTGTTCTCTCTCTTCCTCCTTCCTCCTCTTCATCTCTCCTTAATGTCGCAATTAGTAGTCACACCATTATCAATCTCCATTTATGCCATTTCCTGTCACTTCTGTGCTAATTTAAACCGTCTTTTGCAAGCTGCCTAAGAGTCAGCAATATTATGCAACATGTGACAAATGCTATGAATATCACCTTTAATGACGGGGGGGGGGGGGGGGGGAATGTAAGAGGAAGAGTGAGAAGAAGAAGAAGAAGTAAGAGGAAGAAGAAGTTAAGGAGGTGATGATGATGGTGTAGAATTAAGGTGTGATAAAAAAAAGTCGTTGGTGATGATATTGTCATTATTATTATCATTATTATGGTGATGATACTGATGATGATGATGATGGTGATGATGGTGGTGATGATGATGATGATGGTGATGATGATGATGATGATGTGAGGATGATGATGATGATGATGGTGATGATGATGATGATGATGATGATGATGATGGATGATGGGATGATGATGATGATGATGATGATGATGATGATGGTGATGATGATGATGATGATGATGATGAGTGATGATTGATGACCATGACGACGACGACTACGAAGGAGAAAGATAAAGAAAAGGAAATAAAACGAGAAAAAGAAACATAAGAAGACCAAAAAGAACAAAAACAAAAAAAAAAAAAAAAAAAAAAAAAAAAAAAGCTGGCACACGTGATACCCTGAGAATACCACGCCGAGGGTGGGTGATCGGGCAGACAGCTCGGTACCCCTCGGGGAAAGTACCCAAGAACGGGGTACAGAGAGATGGTATTGGCTTTGAGTTGTAATGGTATGGTGGCGGGTTGTAGGGTATGGTGGTATGGTTTATGATGGCGTGGTATGGTGGGGGTTGTGTAGTATGGTGTGGTAGGTGGTTGGTATGGTGGCGGGTTGTGGGTATGTGGTATGGTTTTGTGGTGGCAGGTTGTGGGGTATGGTGGGGTGGCGGGTTGTGGGGTATTGTGGTTGGTTGTGGTGGCAGGGTGGTGTGGTGGAATGGTTTGTGACGAAGTTGTGATGAGAGGTGGTGAGGTGTGGTTTGTTATAGGCTATGGTGTGTATGGTGATGTGTTGTGTGGTTGTACGTTTGCGGGCTTGTGATGCATGGTGGTATGGTGCGTTGTGTTGTATTGTGATGGGGTTGTGTCTGAATATGGTGATACCCTTTAGGTTGGGTGTATGGTGACTTGTGAGGAGCATAGTGACGGTGATAGAATGTAGTGAAGTGAGTTTTGATGTGTAGTGATCTGCTTTGTGTCATCGTACATGGTGATAGTGTATGGTGATTTGCAATACGTATGGTGACAAGTGGTTGTCATTTATGGTGACAAGTTGTGGTTTGTGACATGGGTTTTCATGCGTTGTGGGTTGTGAAGTATGATGACAAGTTGTTATATAATGACAAGTTGTGGTCTGTGATGCAGGGTGATAAGTTGTATTTTAATAGACTTATAGACTTGTGTATAGTGAGTGGCTTATGGATTATATGGTGGCATGTTATATGAGGTATGGTGACATGAAGGTTGTAATGTATAAACGGTAACATGTCATGCGTTGTTACATATAATGATTAACAGCGGTTTGTATAGTAATCTATGGTGACAAGTTATAAACTATAATAGAATGTGCGTTTATGTATGGTGATAGACACGTTGCACTGTAAGCTTGATTGTGAAGCATATTATACAGTGAAAACTTGAATGTTGTGAAGACTGACAGGCATCAATAGAAACTACTTCAGGAGTCAAAATAAACGGTTATTATTGCGTTCTCATAAAGTATTCTGATAAATAACAAATAAAATATGAAGTATTCGAATAAACTGACAAAGTATTCGTAACGTTAATAAGGGGGGAAATGGAACAATTGTGCGAATTGAGGGAGACCCATAGACAAAACTCGTCTAAAACATGTTTCGAATTCTGCTTCGAAAGGCCCGGTAATGTGACTTGTTGGCTCGGGTTCGGAGGGATTCGAAGCTTCATTCACGGTACGCGACTTTGGCCAATGAGTGTGCGAATTGCAAGGGGATTCTGAGGGCGAGCGTGATGTAGAGGGAACGAGGGAGATGGAGAGGAAAGAAGAGAAAAAAAGGAGATGGAAAGAGGGGGATGAAGAGGAGGAGAGAGAAAAGGAGACGGAAAGAGGGGGGGGGTAATGAGAAAGAGGGGAAAGGAAGGAAAATGGAGAGAAAAGGAGGGAAAGAATGAGATGGAAAGAGGAGGGGAGAGGAGGAGAGGAAAGGAGGAAGAGAAGGAGATGGAAAAGAGGGAAAGTATGAGAGGGAAGGAGAGAGAGAAGGAGGGATATGGAGAGGAAAGGAGGGAGAGAAGGAGGGAAATGGAGAAAAAAGGAGGAAGAGAGGGAGATGGAAAAGAGGAAGTATGAGAGGGAGGTAGGGAGATGAAGAGGAAGAGGGAAAAAAGATGGAGAAGGGAGAAGGAGGGAAGGAAGGCAACGGAAAAGGGAGGGAAGGAAGGCAGGAAATGGAAATAGGAGAAGGAGGAGAGGAAAAGGAAAGGAGGAAAGGAGATGGAGATTAGACGAAAGGAAAGAGATGGAGATTAGACGAAAGGAAAGAGATAGAGGGAAAGATCGAGAGAAGGAAATGAAGGGAAAGAATGAGGGAAAGAGACGACGTGGAAAGGATGGAGGGAAATGGAAAGAAAGAGGGAGGGAAGAAGAGGCGGAGCTAAGGATACTAGGAAAAAGAGAGAGAAAGAAAGGAGAGACTTAGAGGGAAAGGAAGGCAGTAGAGAGAGAAGATGCGAAAGCAGGAGGGACGAAATAACCGAGAGAGGGAAAAAGAGGAAGATAAAGACATGGGAAAGAGAAAGGAACAGACAAAAAAGAGAGATAAAAAGAGATAGATAAAAGACAGTACAAAATATACAAAACCGAAAGGAGAAATAAGAAGTGAAAAAGCGAGAGAGAGAGAGAGAGAGAGGAGAGAGAGAGAGAGAGAGAGAGAGAGAGAGAGAGAGAGAGAGAGAGAGAGAGAGAGAGAGAGAGAGAGAGAGAGAGAGAGAGAGAGAAGAGAGAAGAGAGAAAGATAGAAAGAGAGAAGAGAGAGAAGAGAGAGAGAGACAGAGAGAGAGAGAGACAGACAGAGAGAGAGAGACAGACAGAAAGAGAGAGAGAGACAGAAAGAGAGACAGAGACAGAGACAGAAAGAGAGAGAGAGAGAGAGAGAGAGAAAATAAAGAAAATCCGCGCGTGCCAAAATAGCAGAAAAGACCTGCAGCCGGTGATGACGGCAGCCCTCCCCTCCCCTCCCTCCCTCCCTCCCTCCCAAAGCACCTGTAAGACTCTACCCTTCCCTCCTCTCCCTCCCTCCCTCCCTCCCTCCTCCCTCCTCTTTCTCCCTCCCTCTCTCTCCTTACTCCCTCCCTCCCTCCTCCCTCTTCCTCCCTCCCTCCCCTCTTCCTCCCTCCTCCCTCCTCCCTCCCTCCCTCCCCTCTCCCTCCTCTCCCCCCTCTCTCTCCCACGACTCTCACCTCCTCCCCCCCCAAACCCATGACCCCCTCTCCCCCTCCCCCAAGCACAGGATAGAGGGAGAGACAGAGAGAAAGAGAGTGAAGATGAGAAATGATGAACTGAGAGAGAGAGACACAAACAAACATGCGAATTCTTCTCTTTTCTCTCTCTTCCTCCTACTTCCTTTCTTTATTTCTCTGCAATGTTCGCAATTACTATCATTATCAATCCCCCACCCCCCCACGCCCGCCCACAGCTCTCACCCACCCTCCCTTCCCCATCTAAGCAGACACCCTCTCCCTCCCCCCTTCCAAGCTACCTAAGACCCACTCCCAGCTCTCACCTCCCCCTTCCCCCCTAAGCAGACGGTAAGACCCTCTCCCTCCCTCCCCTCCCAAGGTCTCACCTCCCCCCTTCCCCCCTAAGCAGACGGTAAGACCCTCTCCCTCCCCTCTCCAAGGTCTCACCTCCCCTCCCTCCCTCCCTTCCCCCTAAACATCAGATAAGATCCTCCCCCCCTCCCCCCTCCCCTCCCCAGCTCAAACCAGACAACCTGCTACGCTCACGTCCGCGTCCTGCCGGCGCGCGATATGCTAAGGCTGACCTATGGCACTGTGCCACGTGTGAAGGGGGGGAGGGGGAGGGGGGCGAGTGACAAGCCCTTCTCAGCTCGTTCTTTTCCTCGCTTCCTGTCTCTTAAAATCTACTTTAAAAAAAATCCTTTCTAATTCTAAATGAAATGTGACCCTATTTTGTTCTTCAGGTTAATGGGAGGATATACTCTAATATATACTGCCCATGGGTAGACAAATATACCCGACGGTCTGAAAGGTTATATTTTCCTCGATTCATAACTTTGAAAATCTACTCTCTTTTTTTTTAAATTCCTTTTAAATATAACCTCTTTTAGTTCTTCGGGTTAAGGGAAGATATACTTTACGGTTATATAGCCCGGGTATACCTAAATATACCCGACATATCAGAAGGCTATGACATTTTCTTCGATAAATAACTCTAAAAATCTACATCCTCTTTAAAAAATCCTTTTGAATGTGACCCCATTTTGTCCTTCAAGTTAAAGCGAAGATATACGGTTATATAGCCCGGGTATACCTAAATATACCCGACGGTCTGAAGGTTATCATATTTTCCTCGATTCTTAACTCAAAAAATCTACTCCCTTTTAAAAAATCCTTTTGAATGTGACTCCATTTTGTCCTTCAGATTAAAGGGAGGATATACCATACGGTTATATAGCCCGGGTATACCTAAATATACCCGACGGTCAGAAGGCTATGATATTTTCCTCGATAAATAACTACTCCCTTTAAAAAAAAAATCCTTTTAAATGTGACCCCATTTTGTCCTTCAGATTAAAGGGAGGATATACCATACGGTTACATAGCCCGGGTATACCTAAATATACCCAGCGATCTGAAGGGGTTATGCTGATACTTATGCTTTCGATCCGTCATTAGTTGAAAGGTCACTTAATCAGCATCGTGTTTGAAGTGGAGATGCTGTGTGTGTGTGTGTGTGTGTGTGTGTGTGTTGTGTGTGTGTGTGTGTGTTGTGTGTGTGTGTGTGTGTGTGTGTGTGTGTGTGTGTGTGTGCGTGTGGTGTGTGTGTGTGGTGTGTGTGTGTGTGTGTGTGTGTGTGTGGTGTGTGTGTGGTGTGCGTGTG